TAAATCTCATATGGAATAAGCTTCCTTCCAAAGAGGTCCAGCTTCTTTGCTCTTTTCCCTTTTGGCATTGAGACCTGGTATCACTGTCTCTTTTTCATTAGCAGCTGAGACTACTGGGTAGAAAGGAGGAGATGGGTATAAAAAATGTTCAAACCGCTATGAAGGGACATTAAATCTTCTCTCCACCTTTTTTTGAAATAAGAGGTGTAGAAGATGAGGTCTGCCATAATGCCCTGTCAGGCTTCAGGATAGCCTCATTAATAGAGAGAGCTATCCTAGAGGGTCCTGCCCAGGCTAAAATGTCAATCAACCCATGTGACTTTTTCTGCATCTCTCCTGGTTGGATATCCTGAGTTGCAGCCATCCTCCTAAACAAGCTCTGATGAGCTCTGTAATTGTCAGGAGCGGGAGAGAGAGAAGCAAACTCTGTTATTACCACCTCATCAGGAGATGAAGAAAAGAAAGCTAAGTTGAGGTCAAGCCTTCTCTGAGTCATCCACAGGAGAATCCAGAAGATGCAATTCCGCATGCACAGTACTGTTGCTGGTAATGGGGGTGGGCAGATAGTAACCTGTTGTAGATACTCCTGACACCTAACCGATGGAGTAAGACAAGGGGGGGAGCAGAGATGCTCTAGATTGTGGAGGGAAGCCCCAAAGTTCCAAAAGGGCCATTGATATGGAGGGTGGACAGTTAGGTATGGGCCCTTGGTCCTTGGAATGCTGAGGCTGTGGCTGGTACCACAGTGGGCAGGCACCCCACTGGGGCTGCTGAACATATCTGGGGTGAGATACATAAGAGCTGACCTCAGAATTTGGTGAGAAGTCCACTCCCTCAGACCAAGGGGGATCTGATTTTGTCAGTACAGGGGAGAGCAGTTCTGAGTATGAAAATGAAGTACTGGCAAGATCATTGCTGTTTTAGCAGCCTCCTGTACTGAATGGTGCATTGGGGCTGGAGCCAGAACCACTGAAGAGTGTATGCCAGATGCCAATACCAGGTGGGCGTGCTAAGTAGCTGGGGCGACCAGTACCAACAGGTTCGATAATTCTTGAGCTGCCTCAAAAGCCTTGGGAGTAGACAGCTCTAGAAAGGGCTCTTGGCTCTGTGGTAATGTTCTGTCAGCACTTCAGGAATTGGTTTCAGTGGAAGTTTCCTAGATTCTGAAGTCAGCAACCCCTCTTGGCTTAAAGACTGTGCCTTGGAGTTTCTCTTCTTTGAGTGACTCCATGTCCTTGCCTCCACTCGGGGCTTTCACCAAATATTCTGAAGACTTACATAAGGCGCGAGTCCAGTGCTGATACTCAGATGGGAACTGGTGACTTCACACTACTAAATACTTATCTAAATTTACTCTTATATCTATACTATGTACAAAGACTCTAAATTACACTAAAATTAACACTACAGGTACTATGTACACTAAATAGGGTAACAATTGCAAATGCAAGGATAGCAGCTCCAACAACCATCACTGGTGGTAGGAGGGAACTGAGAGGGTGATCAGGGGTGGCTCTGCCCTTTATACTTGTGTGCAGTGCCACAACGCAGAGAGGGCTGCTCTGATGGGTATTGCTGAGTGAAAAATCTCCAACCGTGCATAAGGCGTGCACACACCTACAGTGGAATGGATGTGTGCAGTCACTCAAAGAAGCAAGTACTTGACCAGTACCTCACGTGGAAGTTGAGGAATACAATCATGAGCGACATAAGATAACAGATGAGGCTACTGATCTCAGACTCATATCATACACTTAATATTATTGTTATGGAACAGAGGCAGAACCTAAAGATTCATGAATTTGAGCCTCAGGTTTAGAAACAGATGTTGACACAGAGGTCTGACATAGAAAAGTAGGATGAAGAATGTTCACCTCTCAGAAAGCACCAAGGGCTTCCCATAGACTTAAAGGAATGAAGCACTAAGTGAGAACTCAAAGATACTTTACACAGAGCCAAGGAGGGGTTCAGATTCAAAGACTCCACTGGATACACTTGGAGACAACATTAAGGGGTGCTCAGAGCTGCAGTCTCTAATATATTTGTTATTGGATATTTGTGCTGGGCTCAGTGAAGTGCTTCTTCTTGATATCATGCTTCTGGAACTTCACAATTGAGGACAGCACAACTGAGAATATTTTGAATTGATTTTAGAGCTTCAGATCTGATTCTTTGCTCTCTTTCAAGTACTTGGGCTTTGACTTATTAAAACAGAAACTATAGTTCCAGAATTATAGGATTCTGCCTTTACAGTTTCTTTCATTGAGAAAATTTTTGTTATAAATTCCTGGTTTGTATGGCCCAAGGTGAAGCCAGTATATACTAAACAACTGCTTGTGGTGGAACCTTCTTACAAGCAATTCAAACAGCAGACGTGTTGGTCTGAGATGGACATCTTTTTTTAGTAGGATGCACAATGCCTAAAACCCAATATTTGTGTTGATTTCTGAGAAAAAAGATTGGAAATGACAACTGCACACAACAGTAGATACTTACCTAAATTACAAGTTTGCTAACTGAATTATATTTTTGTACAGTTGTTAATAGGCTAACCTACAATAATTAACAAGAAAAGAACAAAAGAGAAAAGAAATTAGTAAAATATACATTGAATAGACTGAGATGACACTTCTGAGCCTCTGCTGCTTATGGCAGAAGGTTAGGACCTGAGAACTGTTAGGGTAAGAAATCTTGAATAACTTAATCTGCAGTTTTCAGAGTAACAGCCGTGTTAGTCTGTATTTGCAAAAAGAAAAGGAGTATTTGTGGCACCTTAGAGACTAACCAATTTATTTGAGCATGAGCTTTCGTGAGCTACAACTCACTTCGTCGGATGCATACTGTGGAAACTGCAGAAGACATTATATATACACAGAGACCATGAAACTTATATATACTTATATATACACAGAAACCATGAAACCATTAATCTGCAGTGTTCAGTTTGGTGGGTAAGAGGTGGGCAGCTACAAGAGTTATTGCTTTTCAAATAATTCTAGAGCTGATGGCATCAAGGATGGTGTCTGCCAAAGTGGGAATGAGCAGGGACAATTCTCAAAGGAGATATAAGGTTAATCTTTAACAACTGTAGGGTCCTATTCTGATTTGACGTACACCAGTTCTACAGTAGTGCAACTGTACTGACTTCAGTGTAGTTACTCCTCATTTACATTAGTCTAAGTGAGATCAGAATCAGGCCAGAAGCCTTTAATGAAGTTTAAAGAGCCACTGGGGGGAGCTACAGGGTAATTTGTTGCCAATTGATTTTGGCAAAGTGTTCAGAGTGCATAATTATTTTAGAATAGGTAATATGGACAGGGAGCCCTGTGAAACAAAGTTCTCCACCTATTACCTTGTTCAGCTCAGCGCTGGTGATTTGTCTGTGTAAACTTCTGAAGTAAAGTTTTTCAGATTTTATTTCACTCTGCCTCAGTCTTCACAGTTATACTTTAAAAAAAGGTCACATTTAGAGCTAGGATCTGGACATCAGCCTCTAAACTGTCTTCAGGTATGTTCAAACAATACCCATTGAATTCAACGGGCATTATGCATGTGTAGAACATCTGGGGAGAAATTGGTCCTTACATCAATCCATTTTCATGTTAATAAATGCGTGTAATGGGATTTTCACGGAACCATTGTGAGGAGAAGAAATTGTATCACATAATAATTTTATCTTTCAATTTATGAATTCTCTTTTTTCAAGTCCCTGTTCTGGGCTGCATCTGAGCTGTGCTCTGTGCGGCTCAGGGGATAGTGGAAGATGGCTTTATACCATCTTTATGCCCTCTCTTTCCGCAACCCTGGAGTTCATTGAGTTTTCCCCAGCATAAGTTAGAGCAGCTACTCTAACGTATGCCTGGCTGCCTATGGTCCTCAAGGGACTGTTCTGGCAGTCAGTGGTTGATGGGGCATAGAAGCACTATGGCAATGCCCTCTTCACCAGGGAGAGGAGTACCTCTGTTTCTGTGGGGAGGGCAGAAAGCGAGTGACATAAGTGGTCTTTGCCATCCAGGGAACCCCCTACAGGCCAGTTCAGCTGTCTGTATGGATGCTTGGAGCAGTTGTAGCATCCATCTTTTACAAATAGACAACAATTCGGTTGCAGATACCTTAGCCTCTGTGGAAGTTATATATGATAATGTGCTGTCAAGTTAGTTATTATAACAGTGCAAAATTGGACTTGGTCTACGGCCAATATATAACACCTTTACAATTACTTCCAGGTATTTGTGCATCACCAAATCTATCTTAACTGAGAGATAAGAAAACAAGTTACAATCAGAAGTGAAGAGTTAAAATATTTTGTTCCTTAAACATAGTTTCTTGAGTACATTCAAGGCTTGTTTTAGCTATGCTTCATTTAGCCGGAGTATATGAAAAAATAAATTATAAGCAACCTTATTGCAAGTATTGTTGCTATACTCTTCTCAGTCAAACTGGAGACAATATGTTTTATAGTTATCACCTTTGTTTTCATATACTTTTGGGAAAAATGTACTTTAAAAGAGTTGTTAGTCTCCCTGAAGCCAAAGACATACCATACTAATTTAGTTACATGACTAAGAGAAGGACCAAGTAAATGAAAATTGAAGGTATATAAGCTGTAATGCAGTGGTTCTCAAATTTTTGCATTGGTGACCCTTTTCACACAGCAAACCTCTGAGTGTGACCGCCCTTATAAATTTAAAACACGTTTTTTTTATATTTAACACTATTATAAATGCTGGAGGCGAAGCATGGTTTGGGGATGGAGGCTGACGGCTCATGACCCTCCCATAATAACCTCATGATCCCCTGAGGAGTCCCGACCCCCAGTTTGAGAACCCCTGCTGTAATCTTTAACAATAAATAAGAGATAGGAACAGTATAAGAATATCAATTTATATTGCTATTTCTTTTCATATTATCTCTTTGATTTATAATGGGATACATCGAAGGGTATTTAAAAGTATGTTCATAGCAGAATTGCTTTTAATTCTACAAATAGATCAACTTACATTAATTAATTCGCTCTCCCAGATTTTTTTCACAAGGTCCATCGATGTATAGCCATTAATCAGAAAGGATTTGGTATAGTCACCCAGTTCAATGGAGTCCAGCCACTCTGCCACAGAGGTGGGGTTGTAGCCATCATTACCAATCTGCTTCATCTGAAATATACAAATGACTAAGTATTACTAGAAATATTATTAAGCAACTTTTATGACAACAATAAAATTTGTTAAGTTCTTTGGGTCAGAGTTATCTTCATTTGACCAAATAGGTAGGTAGAATCAGAGGCTAAAATAGGGAAAGAATAAGTTAAAAATTACTTAGACAAGTTAGATGTCTTCAAGTCACCAGGGCCTGATGAAATACATCCTAGAATACTCCAGGAGCTGACTGGTCTGAGCCATTAGTGATTATCTTTGAAAAGTAATGGAAGATGGGAGAGAGTCCAGAGGACGGGAAAAGGGCAAATATAGTGCCAATCTATGAAAAGGGAAATAAGGACAACCAGGGAATTACAGACCAGTCAGTTTAACTTCAGTACCCAGAAAGATAATGGAGTAAATAATTAAGCAATCAGTTTGCACCTAGAAGATAGGAAGGTGATAAATGAGAGTAGTTCACAGTAAAGCTGTAAGGGCATATTGACTGGGGTCCTACAGGGATCAGTTCCAGGTCCAGTTCTGTTCAATATCTTCATCAATGACTTAGATAATGGCATAGAGATACACTCAAAAAATTTGCAGACGATAGCAAGTTGGGAGGGATTGCAAGTGCTTTGGAGGGAAAGGACTGAAATTCAAAATGATCCAGACAAACTGGAGAAATGGTCTGAAGTAAATAGGATGAAATTCAATAAGGACAAATGCAAAGTACTCCACTTAGGAAGGAAGAATCAGTTCCTAACTTCCTAACTCTCAGGGTAGTAAAGCACTGGAATAAATTGCCTAGGGAAGTTGTGGAATCCCCATCATTGGAGATTTTTAAGAGCAGGTTAGACAAACACTTGGCAGGGATAATCTAGTTAATACTTAGTCCTGCCTTGAGGGCAGAGGACTGGACTAGATGACCTCTCAAGGTCCCTTCCAGTGTTATGATTCTATGAATATTCCTTTAATGATTAGTACAATCTGAAAAAACATAGAAGTATTAGGATTTTGATTTTACTTTTCTAAATTCTACTAAGCTACAAATAAGTAAAGACCTGTGACTTCTCTTTCTGAATTGCCCTCAATGACACAAGTGAAGATTTTCAAGTTAACTATTAATGATAAAATTTGAAAGAATAAAATTGTAAAACCTCTGCATGTTAAGCTGTTGATGACATACCATTCATATGAATATATAAAGCAATATATAATAGTACTGGTAGGGCTGTCAAGCTATTAAAAAAATTAATCGCGATTAAACGCACTGTTAAACAATAATAGAATACCATTTATTTAAATATTTTCGGATGTTTTCTACATTTTCAAATATATTGATTTCAATTGCAACACAGAATACAAAGTGTACAGTGCTCACTTTATATTTATTTTTTATTACAAATATTTGCACTGTAAAAAAACAAAAGAAATAGTATATTTCAATTCACCGAATACAAGTTGTGATAAATGAAGTGTGTGTGGTGGGCGGGGGGGGGGAAGGAGGAGGAGACGGGTAGCTCCCTTTGATGTACAGGCACCCAGATAGTTAGCTGTAAAATCCCTCTTGGTAGCTGTTCTCTGCTTGCTTTACCTGTTGTCAAGGTTCCTCCCCCACTCTGAACTCTAGGGTACAGATGTGGGGACCTGCATGAAAACCTCCTAAGCTTACTTTTACCAGCTTAGGTTAAAACTTCCCCAAGGTACAAATTAATTTTATCCTTTGTCCTTGGAATATCCACTGCCACCACCAAACTCTAACTGGGTTTACTGGGAAATGTAGTTTGGACACGTCTTTCCTCCCAAAATCCTCCCAACCCTTGCACCCCACTTCCTGGGAAAGGTTTGGTAAAAATCCTCACCAATTTGCATAGGTGACCACAGACCCAAACCCTTGGATCTGAGAACAATGAAAAAGCATTCAGTTTTCTTACAAGAAGACTTTTAATAGAAATAGAAGTAAATAGAAGTAAAGGAATCACCCCTGTAAAATCAGGATGGTAGATACCTTACAGGGTAATTAGATTCAAAACACAGAGAATCCCTCTAGGCAAAACCTTAAGTTACAAAAAAGACACACAGATAGAAATAGTCATTCTATTCAGCACAATTCTTTTCTCAGCCATTTAAAGAAATCATAATGTAACACATACCTAGCTAGATTACTTACTAAAAGTTCTAAGACTCCATTCCTGTTCTATCCCCGGCAAAAGCAGCATATAGACAGACACAGACACAGACCCTTTTTTTCTCTCCCTCCTCCCAGCTTTTGAAAGTATCTTGTCTCCTCATTGGTCATTTTGGTCAGGTGCCAGCGAGGTTACCTTTAGCTTCTTAACTCTTTACAGGTGAGAGGATTTTTCCTCTGAGATTTTAAAGGGGTTTACCCTTCTCTTTATATTTATGACACAGGTTCTGCTCAATAACAATGCAAAGCAGCTTTCTTTTTTGGTGGTTTGGGTTCTGTAGTTTCTGCATCAGAGTGTTGCTCTTTTAAGACTTCTGAGAGCATGCTCCACATCTCATGCCTCTCAGATTTTGGAAGGCACTTCAGATTCTTAAAGTTTGGATCAAGTGATGCAGCTATCTTTAGAAATCTCATATTGGTACATCCTCCGGAATTGCTCTAACATGAAATATATGGCAGAATGCTGGTAAAACAGAGCAGGGGACATACAATTCTCCCCCAAGGAGTTCAATCACAAATTTAATTAATGTATCTTTTTTAATAAGTGTCATCAGCATGGAAGCATGTCCTCTGGAATGGTGGGTGAAGCATGAAGGGGCATGTGAATGTTTAGCATATCTGGCACTTAAATACCTTGCAATGTCAGTTACAAAAGTGCCATGCAAATGCCTGTTCTCACTTTCTGGTGACATTGTAAATAAGAAGGGGGCAACATTATCTCCTGTAAATGTAAACAAACTTGTTGGTTTAGCGATTGGCTGAAGAAAAAGTATGACTGAGTGGACTTGTAGGCTCTGAAGTTTTACATTGGTTTGTTTTTGAGTGCAGTTATGTAACTAAAAAAATTCTACATCTGTAAGTTGCACTTTCACGACAAAGAGATTGCACTGCAGGACTTGTATGATGTGAATTTAAAAATACTATTTCTTTTGTTTATAATTTTTACAGTACAAATATTTATAATAAAAAATAATATAAACTTTGATTTCAGTTACAACACAGAATACAATATATATGAAAATGTAGGAAAAACATACAAAATATTTAATAAATTTCAATTGGTATTCTATTGTTTAAAAGTGCAATTAAAACTGCATTTAATCTTTTAAAAGATTAAAATTAATCTTGATTAATTTTTTTAGTTAATCGTCTGAGTTAACTACGATGAATCGACAGTCATAAGTACTGGATCAAACTGCATATGCCAGAAGAATGAACTACAGAATAGCATCAATGTGCAATAATATTATAAGAATCACATCGCTGAACAAAAGTGTAACTATTGCTAACTTAGTCATATATTACAGTAGTAAATTTTAAAGGAGATTTAGGAGGTTTAGAAGGCCTTATATTTTGCACAGAATTTATGGTATGTTTGAAAATTTAATATAGTGAGTGCTGGCAGCTAGTCTCCTACTTTCCTCTGCTATACACATTTTTACTTTAAGAGAACAAAACAAGTATGACAGGAGCGTAATGCTTTTGAGCTTAAGTTTTAAGTGAATGACAACGTAATTTCAAAAGTAGAGAGTGCTGAACTTAAAATCTTGCTTGAACCAATTGTATTTCTTTACAGTTTATTTGAAATGTAATTTGAATTCAAGGCAGTAGAAAAAATTTAGTTTGCTTTTGAAAGCTGGAGTAGTGTTCACCAAAATATACAATGCTGTCACTTCAAATACTTGGCAGACATCTAGCACATCATGATCTTGATCTTATTTTGTTGCACTTTCCTGGAGGAACAGGCAAAACTAGGCACACTTTGGGGGCGTGGGTGTCAGTCACTCTGTTCTCTGGCTCTTTGTTGCAAGTGCTGGATACAAAACTTTATACGATGAATGTGAGATTGTTGTCTTAGATCATAAAACAGGGACTGGCAGGTTTCCCCAGAGCTTGGGACCGCGGAAGCCCTGAGAGCTCTGATTCTGAGGCAGTCCACCTGGAGGCCGGTGCCTGACCAGGGCACCCAGTGTCCCCAGGTTCTGGAGAAGCCTGCCCTGGAGCCAGGTTGTAGGTTGAGGACTGAAAACCAGTCTTCCAGTGCTGGGATTATTGACGTCAGTGTGACCATTTTGAATTTGTGGGTTTGAACAAATTTGTTGAGTTTCCTGAGATCTAAGATAGGTCTCCATCCTCCGTTTTTCTTTTGTGTTAGAAAGTAGTGGGAGTAGAACCCTTTCCCTCTGTGCTCTGTTGGAACCTGTTCTATGGCACCTAGCTGTACAAGATAGTTTATTTCTTGTCTCAGAAGATGCTCATGAGAAGGAACCCTGAAGAGGGATGAGGAAGTGGGGTGGGTAGGGGGGATGGAGGTTAAAAAGGATAGTATATCTTGATATTATTTCCAGCACCCAACTGTCTGTGGTGATGGATGCCCATGCTAGGTAAAATGGTTGAAGTCGGAGGCCCAAAGTTTGAGTATTCGATATAATTTGCTCTGGAAGTTGTGGGAGGTCGACCCTCAACCAATCATTGGTTCAGGTTGTCATGATTCCTGTTATACTGTTAGAATCATCTGCGTCTATTTGGGGGTGTATATATACCCAAAGTATGGAGTGTGGCACAGGAGTCCTTCATTGAGTGCAGGACATCATCTGTTTTTGATTAAAATAATTTCTCCCTGTCCAACGGGAGATCCTCTACTTTGGTTTGCAGTTCCCATGGGATTCCTGAGGCTCGCAGCCAGGAGGCTCGCAGCCAGGAGGCTCTCCTCATGACTATGGCAGTAGCTATTGTACGGCTTGTTGTGTCTGCTGTATCAAGGAAAACTTGTAGTGCTGTTCAGGCTACTAGTTGTCCCTCCATCATGATGGCTTGGAAGGAACTGCTC